GTGTGTGTGTGTGTGTGTGTGTGTGTGTGTGTGTGTGTGTGTTTTATGAAAAGAAATTGCAAAGCAATTGCACAACCTGGCTGCGCCAGGAACAGTAATGAACCGAATTGCATGCAACTTTCACCAATTAAGCACAGCATCAAGCTATCTAATCGTAAGGATCACCATCGCACACCTAAAGTCATTGCTCACATTCTCCTATTTATACCAAGCCTTTTCCAGTTCATAGAGGGACTAGGAGAGATCGAGGGAGAGGGAGAGAAGGAAGACGAAAGCAGGAGAAGGAGAAGGAAGACCTTCCTTGACAGGACCAATCTCCAGATTCAAGGAAGGAGGGTGGCGCGTCCCTGAAGCGCTTTTCGCCGCGTGCGCCAGACGGCTCATCAGAGGAGAGATAGGCTACGTTTATAGGCAGACCTTCTATACCAACAGGACCAATTACCAATGGAGTAGGGGCAGCCACTGTAGCTAGAGAGAGGGAAGAAGAAGAAGGAATGTGTCTGTGGGGAAGGGAGCTTGGGCAGGAGATAGGAAGGTGGGTACGGGAACAGTTGCAGGGTACATGGGGTATAGACAGCAGCAACGGGATATATTTAGCAAGGAAGTTCTTTGAACTGAGGGATAAGGGAGCATTATGGGATGACATCAAAGGGTGGTAACGAGCATTCAGAAGCCACATACCGCTTGTGCATTGATTTCGGCGTCAGTGACGTGCCCATCTGAGGCTGCCTTTGCCATCATCGGAGGAAAGTGCTGGGACGATATCTGGTAGCCGATGTACGTCTATGGCAGGCCTGTGCTGTGTCCAGGATACGTTGTGTGTCTGGGTGTAGCCTTGCAAGCCACGTGAGTGGAGAGGGAGGAAGAAGATTGCACCAGGCTCGCAGCAGCTGCCACGGACCGCTAACTCAGTGCGAGGAACCGGAGTCCTGCGATAATACCAGGACAGTGCGCGCTTGCGAGTTCATAGAGTTCCCATGCAAGAGAGGATGAGTACAGTGCTTGCAATGCATATAAATATTGTTATTTGAATATCGTGTGGGCCTGCGGCTTAGTAGTTTGGGCGGGAGTATGGGTTACGGTGTCTTGTACGTTTCGACAGGCTGTGTGCAATTTCATCGTCCGAAGACAGGTGGGGGGTGTACCATGTGTTGTATTAAGTTTTGCGGGTTTCGACCGGTCATTAAAGCATCCGACTAGATTAAACTGACATTTCGTTAAAACTGACATTTTTTTCTAAATTCACGAAATTGAGCGTACAAAAAAACAACATTTTGTAGTGTTTTTTTGTCCCCATGACGTCGGAT